AACTGCTCTTACCTCAGTGAGGCAGTGTGTCTGGGTAAATTGCAGGCTGTGCCAGATGCTTGGTTCTCAAACCGTCCGGTCCGATGGGGTAAAAGCAACGTTTTAGTGCCTGGGTGACGGCTAACCTCCTCATGAAACGGGGCGGCCACACCGGCTTCAGAGGATGAAGTTTTCTGCTCAAAGCGGCTGCTGGTGACACCACAGAATGTGAAAACAACAATCATGGCATTCGCTGCTGGCATGATGGTTATTTTTAAACAGCGCTGCAGCAGAAACACTGCCAACACCCAGAACTCATTCATGGGAGTGAAAAACAAAGCATTAATTAATGAAGTCCAATTGCCAAACCATTGCATGTTTATGGAGTAATAATAATAACATTAAAACAGATCTTCTTAAAACACCAAATGCTGAAGTTCTCTGCTAAAGATGATATTTGGACATCATCTTTCAAACTCTCAGACAAAAGTCGGTTCTGATCCCAAACGACTGGTTCAGGTTCCCCTGTAGACATTAAATTCTCGCTCAAGATCATGTTCCCAGAACTTCTTCAATATTTCCAAACACTCGATGAAGACGTTCCAAGAAAAATGACAGCATGCGTCTGAGAAAAGCATTTCACATTAGTGCAGGAAACCTGAAGCACCGTGACGGAAACAGCAGGAGCCGCCCCAAAAAGTTGCTTCATTTCTGTCAAGTGTCGCTTTGAGTTGCTTTTTCAATCATCTGGCAATGATGCAATAAATAATGATGATAATAATAAAGAAAAGGAACAGCTCAAGCATGACTGACTTTTTGAAATATAGCAGCAGATTTTTAAATGGAACCTGAAAGCCGAATGTGTAATCAGCTCAAAAATGAATAATGATCCGACGTCCAGATGAACCACAGAAATGATTCTGTGTTGAAAACAACATTTCACATCAGTTCCCAAAATCAGATGGTAGAAGACGTGTGTGACAAGCTGAGGAGGAGAGAGTGAAGAGACGACTCAGAACCAGACATTTAGATTGTGTGAGGAGGAATTATTTAAAAACAATGATCTAAAACCAAAACAGCAAAACCACCACAATAAATATAGATACAGGCTAACAGTTCTGTAGAACTGGGCCTGTGAGGAGGAAGTTATTCCTCACCGCCGTCTTCAGTCATCAGTCTTTTTTTGACAAATAATTAAGTTGAATCTTGTCAGTGAAGAGAATCAGAAACTGAATATTAACATTGAGATGCAATCAGCTCAGAGAACAGCTGTTGTTGTATCAGCCTTTTAGACCTCTCAGGTCTTCTGGTTCTGGTTCTTCCTCAGAACCAGAACCAAACATGGACAAACAGCATTCAGCTTCTATGCACCACAAATCTGGAGCAAACCTCCAGAAAACTGCGAAACATCTGAAACATCGAGCTCCTTTAAATCCAGACTAAACCCCAGCTGGTTGGAGAACATTGACCTTCATATCGATGTGTTTGACTGTAGTGACTGCACTCATCAAATTCTGATGTTTGCCCAATTGTTGACTGTATGGTGATTTCTGTATCTTTGTCCTTTTCTGTTTTTCTTATGTAAAACACCTTGAACCGCCTCGCTGCTGCTGAAATGCTCTGCACAAATGACCTCGACTGACCGATGGACTCATGTCTTACAGAAGTATCTCCTATGACTCGTCATGTTTAAGTGAAACTTTGTCCAGCCTGTTGACAGGATGACAATCTGGCAGAGAAGGTGGTGGGAGCGCTCCCTTTTCAGTCCGATAGATTACTGAACAGATCGGAGTTTTCACCATGGCGACGTCCTGGCCACGCCCACTGACACCACCACCATGATGGCCGAACCGTGGCCTCCTTTCCTTCCTCTCCCGGTTCTCTCAGTTACAAATGTACAAGTGCAACTGAGCGTTTTTTTTGTTTTTCTTAAGTATTGAATTGGCATGTGTTATAAGTTTCCCTTTACAAAAAAACAAAACAAAAACAAACAAACCATCTGCCAAAAATGCCCCAGTGTCCTCGTTTGGCCGCCGACGGTATTTACATGTGGTTCCGTGTAAGCATCAGCTCTCCCCATCTTGTTCTCGGCGGTTTCTGTTCTAGTTTATTATGAGAAACGAAGACAGGAAATATTTTTCGAGTGCCTTAGGTTAGCTCAACAAGTCGGAGGCAGAGAAAGTGGCTCCAAATGTGTTTCCAACAAGAAGCAGTCAGGCATAAGGTTCCACTTTGGTGATGAAAAGAAGAAGCCAGCTTGATTTCTGATTCTGAAGTTAATGGGGTTTGTTTTGGCTTTTGTTTTAGAAATATCAGGGAGACTCAGGGTGTCTAAACTCTTTCTAGGTGCTTTGAGTAAATAAAATAAGTTAAACTGAGAAATGTCTACTTCTCATTGCGACCTAGGATATCATCTTCCTTTCTTGGAAGCTGCATGTAGATGAATTTCTCCTTGTGGAAAAGAAAGGGAAAAAAAGGATTTATTTGTATCTGTAATTTGTGGAGTAATAATCCATCTTTGACCTGCTGCTGTCTCTCTTGTGATTGGCTCGGGATCACAGTATCCATGATTTGAGACCAGAAACTCTGCGTCGGCAGACACCTGTGAAATCACAGCTGACCCAAAACAGTCCAGATGCTGAAACCACTCCAGGTCTGGACTGACTTCTTTAAACAGTCATTTTAATCTCAGCGATCTGACAGTTCGACCCAGAGCTTTCTGAGACGTTTGGGGTGAAGGATAGAGCGCTGATGAAAATAGGAACATCCTTTATGGCAGTCTAATTGCTCCGGCATGGGGGAGTCATATTACCTCATCAAACGTGAGATTATTTTTAGAGTTCGGCGATTGTTCGATTTCATCTCTGCGGCGTTTTGCCTGCCGTTGACCTGAATTCGTGTCTGGAAAATCAAGGTGGACAAGGTGAAGTCTGGAGTGTGTAAAAGTGTTAGTCCACGAACCTCCGCTTGCCCACCGGCGGATCTGAGGTAAACATGGAGTTTCATGAGTTCTTTCAAACCTTTCAGCAGCACACAGGGGATACGCTGCCAAAAAAAAAAAAAAAAAAAAAAAAAGAGAGAGAGACAGAGAGAATGGGGACGCTATAAGCTGTGTGGAATATCACTTAGCATTTCAATGGAAAATGTGGATCAGTGAATCTGGAATGTGTCCACCTCAGTGCTGTGAAGGAGGGCAGGGGGGGTTAAAAATGGTTGGAGTGGCTCTGGAAGCTGTTTGAGCAAATTAATAAAAGTATGCAGGAGTTCAAAGACAGTTGAGCAGCAGGAAATACATAATCACAAGGTGTTTGGACAGGCTGTGTCCTCAGCGCCTCTGATTGATAACAGATTCGTGAGCTCCAGGAGTTCACCAGGTAAGCAAAGTTCAAGCTTGTTTGTCGGGGGGGTTGGGTGTTTTTTTTGGGGGGGGGACTTTTGGTGTCTACCTGACTGCTTCTTCAGTTCAGTTGAGAGAGTTCATGTGTAAGACTAGCAGTGGCATGAACAGGGCATTTATTGCCCAGGAACAAACAGAACCCTGAGGAGAACCAAACACCTACGAGGGGATGTAGCATAACTTCATTCCCATTACAACCTCCTAGGACAGCAGATACTGTACAAAAGCTGAGTTTTCCACTGGAATGTTTGCTGTGATCCCATTTTAGCCAAACAAAGCCAAACAGCCATCTTCCTGTGAAAGGTAGCAAAAATACACATCAGATAGCTGGGACCCAAACCACTAATGTGCGGTGTGTGGCTGATGCACATCCTCGGTGTATGCACTGGGCTCCTCCAGTGGTCTGTCATGATTAGTGTGTTTAGCTCTTAAAGACCGCCCTGCCTTCTGTCACAAACAACATCTCTAACGATGTGATCCACGTTGAGCGGCGTCCAAAACAAAGACCCGAGCAAACCCAAGACACTTTAACTGACTTGTTTACACGCTAAAAATGCGCCGCTTTAGGGGAAATCCCAATACATTAAAAATGCTTTCTGACAGCATTTTTGTTGTGGCGTGTGTGCTTCTGCCAGTTCACTCCAGGATAATTAAGACACAGAGTGAAACTGAGGAGGAAGGGAAAGCATGCAGGAGGGACTGGCCCGTCCGGTCCCGTCTGGTTCGGGGGCACGCTGTCGCTTTTCTGCTTCCACAGTGAACTGTGTGAAAGACGCACGTCTGGTCTGTGGCGACAAGTTTTGGGAAACAAAACCTTCTGGGTTCATTCGGGGTTATCAACCCTCACTCTTATGAGACGAGTCAATACTTTGCAGATGAAGATGGACGTTGCCTGCATAAGAAGCCTCGCGCTGTTCTTTTCTTCAAGCTGCTGTTTGTGATTGTGTGAGCAGAGTAGGACGACTGGGTCAACCGGAAGAGACCATGAATAAAAAGGAGCAGAATAAAAGCTTCTATCTGCTCCATATTCACAAAAAGAGAATACTGACTATTCAACTCGGATACATTTCAAATACACAAAAAATTGGCAGCAGGAACATGGCAGCGTGTTCGATGCAATGTTGCTTTGCTATGATGGTTTTTATATTTCGCTTGAATGCAGAAAGAGATTTAAATGGTTTTATTTCACTGTGGAAATTGTTCCACAAATGGTCAAATGGCCTTAAATGAAATGATTTCAGAAAGGTCACACTGATCTCCAAACTGAAAAAGTGTGCGTGTGTGTGTGCGTGTGTGTGTGTGCGTGTGTGACAGAAGACACCTTTTATGTTCAGGATTCTCAGGAGAAAGAGTAAATACAATTTGCACATCAATGACAGATTTAGGTTCTTACACTAAACCATGACTAAATTTCTTTGAGAATTCCCATGATTAATGAAAACTTACTTTGTATTTGTTTATTAAATAGAAATTAACATCAAATAACATCCCATATTTTTTATTAGCTATGAAAGCTGGTGTTGCTAGATATTTGCAAGCGGGCCCTAATGTTGGAGTTATCAGGTAGTTAATAAGTGTCACTAGCGCCAATGGAGGGAAAATTACACCAGTCATGTTGCTCAGATGTTTATTTATCATCACCAAGAAACAATAGTTTATCAAACACATTTTACAGAAAGGCAAATGAAACAGTACAAGAAGATATAAATCTGATCATTGGATGGAAAATCCAGTCTTTATCAAAATAAAAAAAAAAAAAGAATTTGTTCATATAAATTAACAATAAGAGACAAGTAACGGTCACCACTTTCATTGCTTTTTCAATGCAATAATTTATACATTACAAAACACACATTTTCATATCTCTCAGCGTGGTTAAGAGCAGAGTTTGTGCTGGAGAGCGTTACAGTACCCGGGTCATGGCTGTGGAGCCCATTTGCTTATACATCTGGTGTTCCTGTTGCTGCCTTTGAACTCCCCTTCACCTTTTTCTGCCTCCGTCACCAGCACGCGGCCTTTGTGCGAGGCGTGAGCGGCTCAGAGGCTGGGAGCTGCAAACTGAAACGCGAGCCGTGGATTCAGTTCTGCCGGCGCCTGGATCAGCTGGCTGAAAAACACGCCAACGTCTCGAGTGCATATACAAACAGAGCCTGAGGTTCGGTGTGATTAATTACAAACTACTTCCATGTATACACAAACTGATATAACCAAAAGATCTGTTTCTTTGACTTTTCTTTGTTAAAAACGCCTGTGTAGCCGTGAACGTCTGGTTAAACATTCAATGCATGGTAAAAAAAAAAGAAAAAAAGTAATTGTGCAGTTTTGTTCTCTTTTAAAGACCTTCATCACGGCCGTCAGACAACTGTAAATACAAAACGTTCATTTTCAGGCAAACCAGCACTACCTCCAAGACGTCCTTAAAGCTAAAAATCAGGTGCAACTGCAGTAATCACTTTCTCAGAAGCGGATTCTTTCCACTGGGTGACGGAGATGATTTTAAAGCAACACAGTTAGACGAGACAGTTTTAATCAAAACCGACACAAGACACACACAGGCAGCCATAATAAATGCTTTAAACACTTGGCTGACAAAGAAATAATACTGTGCAGGACAGAAAGAGGCCATGGAAGAGAAAGTTACATTTTTAAGCCTGTCCTCAGGCTTCTTGTAAACAGCAATTTAAATGTAATGTCGAACATCTGGGGAGGCTGTGGATCAAAAGGCAGAGAGGGAGCAGAGCTTGGCTTTTTGGGTTCGTGTTTTTTTTACTCCACACCATCCTGTTCTTTGCAACAAAAAAGGGGGAGGGAGGGAAGCTACCACACTTCAAATGGCAGACTGATAAAGTAAAGTAAAAATATCCCTTTTAGGTCACTGCGGTCTTTTGCTCGACTTTATTGGCCCGGCCACGTGGGCGATTAGCGGCTTTGGGTCCAGCTGAGAGCTTGTGCACGTTTCGGCAGATACACGACTCAATAAGATAAAAATTCTTCAGCGGCTGATAGAATCCAATGTTAAGAGGCGGACGAGTTGGACAAAACTCTTTGCTTCGAAACGTGTTGAGCAGTCACAAAGCAGAGCTCTGTTTACAGCCCAAATGGAAACTCCAGTCAAAATAGGAACAGTTCCTGTGCAGATGCATGCTATTTGAGTTCATCAATGCCAATGAGCTCACTCTGTTCTTAAGGCACATAATGTTACAAGGGACAAATCCTGAATAATACCGACTAAGAGCCTGCACTCGACAAAACATTCCTTCACAAATCTCTGTGATCATATGTTCCATTGCGCACAATCAGTGAGCAAACTGCTGAAAACAAAGGCACTTCGGAAAATATATTTGTAGCAATAAAAAGACTCAAAACAATAAGTTAACATACAATTTTTTTTTAAAGGAACCTATCATTTTAACAGTTTCAGAAACACCAAAACATATTTTTTCTTCACAAGCCCACTTTCCTCCTTAAGCACCAGATCTTTAAATGTCACAGAGAGTTTTAACGACTCCATCAAGTTTACTGAGAGAAATGCTTCTGCATTGCATAGACAAATTGTAGCTAAAACTTTTGCAACAATGGCACTTTAACAGTCTTCACCTCAGCTATATGGGAGGACTTCTGGATGATGCAGCTGGTTGTCCCGGAGACGCTGTCCTTCCCCTGAGCCAAGTTGGTCAAGGCCATGGCGGCGTTGATCTCCTTCCAGTACGTCTCATCTTTGGCCTTCACCTTCTCCTTCTGCGTCGCTGCGACGCCACCGTTGCCCCTGACGACCGGCACAACACGCAAACGCGCACAGAGAGAACAAAACAGAGCGTTACGGCTCACGTTCAGCTGGTGATTGGACACAGGTTATCTGGGGAGAGAAGGTCGACTCACTTGTCATGTTGACTTGATCCATGGTCTGTGGCTTCTGAAAGCAGAGAGAGAAAAACTCAGTAGACTTCTCTGGGTCAGAACATCAGGACACTAGCAAAAGACATTTTTAATCTCAACTTTTTGCCCTCGTTAAATAAAGGTTGCATGTTCAGCAGATTAGTGGATGCATGTGCGTGTGTGTGTGTGTGGTTTTTGACTTGTGTTTTGTTCTTTCAGTGGACACCGTGTCCTCAGCAAACATGTGCTGCTCTGGTTTCTGTCTTTATTTAAGACGCTGAAGGAAAAAGACACGTTTAGCGAGAAGGCTTGAAGCGTAAAGGTGACTGATAGGATGGAGCAGAAAGATGTTTCTTATGACTCATAAAGTCCATGGTGTAATATTTAGTTGGAAAACAAATGGAGCCAGGGAATGAAAAGGCCGCAAGTGAGTCAGTGGGAGAAAGATGGCCGACTGTTGGCTTTCCTCCCCCCTCCTCAATGGGACCAATCGCCATCTCATCTGTGAAACATTAGTGAGGAATAGCAAAGTCATTAAACAATGAAAGTAAAGTTGTCTTTATGGGCGCCAGAGTGTTTACTTCAGCTGTTTACTGAGAGCTCTTGGTGTTTTGAGACCTCAACCTGTCTTCTGTCTCGCGTTCAGCCTTCGCTCAGATCTGCCAATCAGTGAAAATGACAACACAAGCTTGGAGTTTCATGAGGCATTAAAAGACAGCAGAACATCTGGACTTTCTAGCTGTGCAGCCTCCAGGCACTCTACTTAAGTTGACTAAACTTTTAAGAAGTTTGGTCTTTACCAGCTAGAGATGATTGGATGAGAAGAAAATGTTCAAAAGAGGAAAATTATCTGAAAGTTTCTATTTAGTCCAAAGGTATTAAGAGTGTCAGACGTTCAGTAGGTCGTCCTTTGTTCAGAACAAATCCCTCACACAGGGAAACCCCGTCTTCTACAAGCTCATGCTGCACATCCTGCATGTCAATCGGTTCTTCCTCCTGAGTAACATTTTCATCTTCACTGCATCTTTTCTTATGAATATAAAAGTCCAACATCGTGTGAAAGCCAAACCATTAAACTGCTCTGACTTTACAGCTTTATCTTGGTCACCTCTCTTGCTGCTTTAAAAGCCTCCAGAGTTTCTTAATATCCTGATCCACTGATCTCATCTCTGCAGGCTCCACCAGCCTCGGACTCTCCATCTCCTCGCTGCTCTTCTGTCTGCTTCCCATGCAGTCTGAGCCATGATGACAGGACAAGGTCTGAGGCGCTCTGGGCTGATACGGCCCTGATTAGGAAATGTTCCTCTAGTTTTCTGGCTCATTTTTGGATTCTTCCACAGAGAGGAGCCTGACCTCACTCACCACAGTGCTTTCCTTAGAAGAATAGAAGGAATGTGTGAGAGGGAGATGAGGATGTGATAACCCAGAGTCACAAACCACTCAGTTTTAGTTCAGGTTATAGTTTGTCAGAGATTTTCAACAATATTCTCACATTCCTGTCTGTCCATATTTCCCTGCTGTGGCGTCTTTTCCTCTGCTGTTGTCCTGCTTTATCTGCGATTCTCTATTTCATTGACGTTCCCTCGGTCTCCATCCTCTGTCCTCCATGTTACCTTGGACGTCAGACAGGAAAGACCTGATGGCAAAGGTCATCAGGTCGGGACTCCAACCTGTGACAGTCGCATCAGATGATCTGTTCTGATTGGTGGAGAAGGTTCACTAAGTTACCATATGCTCACAGAGTCCAACTGGTTCCTCTGATTCATAATCACAGAATCTGGAGACACACCTCTGCTTACAAAGAGTCTATTTCCAAAACTTTTTGCCTAAAACATCTGAAACTCAGATTTTTCCAAACAAAAGCAGCTCCAACGACTCAATAAATCAGCAATAAATCACTGGCCCAGTTTCTGCTTCTTTCCTCCTTTGTGCTGAACACTCAGTCAGCTCTGCTGCTGCCTCTGGGCCGCACTGACAGCACGCTTTATGGAGCCCCAAAGGGGAAGCGCTGAGATGTCTGCTGGTTTCTGGCATCCAGGTGGAAAATCCAAAACACTGGCTGACTGAACACTGATGTGAGAGAAGAGAGGAAAAAGATGGAGTTTAACAAAGAGGGAGTGATGCTCCACCTGTTCAGATGACTGTGGTGGAGATTGGTTTTGCTCCCATCGTTACCATCTGCTGCTGCTGTTAGCAACTAGCACCAAGCTCTGAGTTGTACAGGAACACACACAAACCGCTTCCTACGACCCATCATTATCTAAAGTGTCTTTAAATCAGAGTCAGTTTTTAGCTCCAAGTTGCTTCCTGCTGCTAAAATGTACTTGTTTTTTTTTTTTCTATCAAATCAAAGGCGACACAAAGCTGAACAGACACAGTCTGATTGTTCAGGATCACTGAGACTCAACCAAAATCACCTGAGGATTCCAAATATCCTGTGGAGTTTGACTAAATCCATCAAGTCCAGTGAGGAGACAACAGTATTAGTGAACATAAACCCCACTGCAAATCTTGCTAACTTCAGTTTCTCCTTCACTCTTCAGACCGATGTTATGTATCGAGCAGGGATCAACCCTTGGAAATAATAGCATGGGAGACCAACAAGCAGGCACCTCCTCATGACCGGTTTTGTCATGAGTCAACTATCAGCCAATAGCTTGACCAGTTTTTACTGTCCAAGTTACTGGTGTATCAAAAAAAATCCTATTTAAAATCATCAAAAAACAATGTTTTTTGGAAGTGATGGTGGTAACAGTTGCAAGGATGTGCAGTGTGATTGCCACTCTGTGCAGCACTGACAGTTGGCGGCCAGGTGGAGAAGAAACAGAGCAAGGTGCCATCTTCCACCAGGAGCTTTTATTACAGCTTTCTCTGAAACATTCCCAGGAATGATCAGCTCTTGTTGGTGGCAAATAAAACGATCACATTAGGGTGGAAAAAAAAAGCAGTAACCACAGGGAAACATTACTCACACTTGTAAGTGTTTACATGTGGACAAAAGCAGCCTTTTTTGGGGATCTGGAGGCCAAATGACATGTTTGTGCAGGACTTACTGCATCATTATGTTGCCCTTGTTCACATTGGAAGCTCAGCAGCCCACTGTGTGTGTCCTGACTGGATTACACCTCTGCTCTCTGGTTGTGAAGCTCTCTTTTCCTCCATCCCGTGGGAACACAGAGGCTACCTATTGTTCTACAGCCGACTCAGCTTTTAAAATGGAAACAGTTTGTGTTTTTCACAGAGTCGGGCAGTGCGGCTCCCTGGGCAAATGGACAGCTGTGTTCCCCACATCTCAACATCTGATGGTGTGTGTGAGCCTCATTGTCCTACAAAGTCTTAGCGTGTCGACAATTTAAAACCCCTCAGACTGAGAGAGCTTTTCATTCCACTCTCTTCCAGTTCCATGTTGGGGAGCTGCCTACATGTAAACTGTGTCTGTGTTGATGTTTCTCTGCAGCTTCACAGACAGCATGAACATGCTGGTCTCAGTCTGTGTCCATGAAGTGGCAGAAACAACATCACATCATCTTCCAGTGACAGATATCCAACATCTGGTGTTTTTATTCCCGTCTCTCTGGGTTTTTATCCACCTCTCCATGAGCATGAAGCATTACCTCAAGGTCATGCCAGGACTCTACTTCACCTCTGTAAACTCAGACACACCCTCTAATATCAAACTCTGCTGACAGTCTGTCGGAGATCCACTGTTATTGACGCACCTTGTCTGCTGTATGTGATGGTTGTTGCTTGCTGTGGCATGGGAGGGTTTCGATGTAAAGAATTGGCAAATCACTGAAAAGCAGACAGAGTTGTTTTGTTGCCAAAACAGGAAACATGAGAAGCAACATTTCATTAAAAGCTTGTTTAAAAAAGGTTTGTCTTAAGTAGATGGTGAAACTCTTCACATGTTTAAAAGTGGGGTTAGGGCTATGTAGTTACAGGATACGCTTAAAACATGAACTCTTCTTAATTCATTCATCTTAAGACATTGCTCCTGCAACATCCGCCACTATTATCACATGCTGCTTGTTTTCCTTTAGCTCTAGTGTGGATGTGATGTTTGAGGTCTTGGAGCTTCACCAGTGGGATTCCTTTCAAGAAGTTTAGTTTTTCACTGGAGCCAATCCATGATCTCCATTTGCTGCCACGTCTGTCTGCTCTTTGTAGTCAGGAGTTCTGGCTGAGCTCACAACAACCAACTCGGACACAAATGGACTTTTGACCAATGGGACGGCAGCGAGGATGTTCGCCACTTTTCCTTGTCCAATCACAACTTTGTTACACAAATGTTCCTCTACAAAATAAATGTGAACATTTTCTGTTAATGATAAATAACAGAATCAAATCTGGGCTTAAAGCTTTTGAGGAAAGGAACAATGTGATAATTTTAGGAGTTTGTTTCACGATTGGTGGATTGCTGGTTCGATTCCGGCTCCACTGACTCTAGTGGTGTATCCTTGGGCAGAATGTACCTTTGTCGTGTGGTGGTGGTCAGAAGGCCAGATGGAAGCTTCACCTCAACTGCCTCAGACTGCCCCAAGGTAGTTGTGGCCGCTATCCAGTAGCTTGCTACCATCAGTATGTGAATGACTGAATGTAATTTGAAGTGCCTCGGGGTCCTGTGTACTTGATGAAGTGCTATACAAGTACAGGACATCAAACAATAATATTAAATCAGATTTATTTGGACGCTGTGTCTATCACCTGTGTGAAGGTGATAGAACAGATTTATGTCAAATCTATCGCACAGGGACACATTTGTCTCTCACTATAGAACATAAAAACTATATTTATAAAAGAAAAATGTGTTCTCTAAAGAAATATCTGGAATCTGCATCAAATAAAAGGGAAAAAAACTGCAGGAAATCAGGAAAACTTGACCTTGAAAAAGTTTTTCTCTCTCTCTGCAATTTTTCATTTGCTTTGTTCCTCAAAAATCAGACATGGAATGAAAATTTGATTTTCTCAATTCATATTCTAAATTTGGATCAGATCTGATTTTCCCAGAAGGACCTTGTCCCTTTTGGATTAATCTTTCCGTTTGAAGCTTCTGCCACAAGTAAAAGAGTAATACTTGTGTAAATGTATCAGAGTCCAAAGAGGCCAAAAGGGAGACATGAGCAGCAAGAAATTTTAATAGCCAGAGATAAAACAGTCAGTGTCTATTAAAGGCCGCAGGTCTGCCAGCCCTTTTCGGATTTGTCTTGATAAAATCTGCTGGAGTGAAGCTTCTGCAGTGAAAACAGTCTGATGTTGGCTCAGGTCAAAGGGTTTTAATTGTTCCTGTCTGACTCATTGATTCATTTCAGATACACACACTCTGTCTGCTTCACACTCAGACAAGAAGAAACACTTTTGTCCAAAAAAGACACAATAACAGCAGCTCTTCCCTCCAACAACCCAGTTCAGATCCGGACCCTCCTTGTTCTGATCGTGTTCAACACAAAGGGAAAATGTTACTTCTGGACGTGAAGTCCACCTGAACAAAGAGCCAGTGTTCTCAGCCGATACAAACAGAGCTGTTCTTGATTGGTTACATCTCTGAAACTCTGCAGAAACTCCTGCAGCTTCCAGACGCTTTGGGCTGCAAAGGTCCCACATTCAACTCTCAGTCTCAAGAGGCCTGTTGGACATTTTGCTCTGCTCTCTCACCTGGAGCCACAGCAGGATCAAAGATAAGACAACCAGCAGCCTGAAAGTCTTCAACATGGCCTTGTTGTGTCTGACCTGTTAGACCCTGGTTAGCTGGAGGTGAAGCTCCTCCCACCTGTCTGGACGGCCTCAGAGACAACCAGTGGTTCAGTGTGTGTGGGTTTGACAGTGTGCAGGTTACTGGATATGCTTGTGTGTTTCAGATGAACTGCACCTTGTTTAAATTTTACAAAATATTTCAAGAAGCTCCTGAACAGCTTCTCCATTTCAGCAACCATGAGGAGAAGATTCAGCAACACATTCAACATGTTGAATTAAAGGAAGAACAGAGAGAGTTAGCAGGAGAGATATTGGAGATCCTGCAGAGGGACAGACAGCTGAACATAATGGACGAGCTGGAGGGATGAAAATAAACGTCCAGAAAAAAGACAGAGATCAGACATGAGGAATGTGATGTGTGTGTCGGAGAGTTCCTGGAAGAGTCAGTGGTCTCCTTACCGGCTCGATAGACGAAGTGGGCCTCAGCTTCAGAGGACGATGGCGACAGCAGCTCGTCATCGAACTCGTTGGAGCTGAAGGAGCCAGAGTGGTTCCTCTTGCGAGCGTCCATGACAGCGTTGGCCACCATGACGTGCCGCAGAGAGTCGTTCAGGTAACGGTGCAGCAAGCTGCTCTTGTACTTGGGTGGAGACACGTAGTCCTCGGCCTCCACGGCAGAACGCAGCCCTGGGTCCATGCCGATGGCCACGCCCACCATGGGGGAGCCCTCCTTCTTGATGACGCTCTGGTACAAGGGCTTGGTGAGATCCTCAGGGCCGCTCTGTGTCCTCTGAGGGTTGTCTCCATCTGCAACATCGGGACATGCTCACATGACTGTTGTGTTGGTGGAGGACAGGAAGTCTTCTCCACAACAAAAACCATCTCTTAAAACTTTACAACAAACTTCTGTTGCCATGTTGATCTATAGTACAAGATAAACATCATGTTTATTCTTGCTCTTGTCCCGACTCCTAACTGGGATCAGTTAACGACATAAAACAGTGTAAATTAACCTCAACTCTCCACAGCCAAAAAGAAAATCTGTGTCTGAATTGATCAATCGACTCGTTGGGTTGTAGAACTCTCTATGGTTAAAGAACATCTGTTGTTGGTCACATTGATGCAGAAACACTTAAGACTGCAGCATAAGGCCTGTATGTACATATGGTGTGTAAACCAGTGGAGCTGACTGGTTCCAGTCTCTCCATCTTCATCTGGGTCGCTGCATTTAGGTCCCATCAGTTTTTATATGGTCATAAAGTCACTAAAAACAATCAGTGGAGGTGCACATTGTAATGACTCATTTCCTCCATCAGATGTTGGACTCCAGGTCCAGTTATTGTCTCAGTTCTGGTCACCCAGTCTGAAGGAAAACGGTTCTTTGGAGCTAATCTTTAATTCAAACAGCAGAACCAGAAGAATTCAACTTTCTGCTCCTGCCCACAAGTTGGCATCGCCTCCACAACAGAAAGCCCAGTTCAGACTTGAGACACAGAACCAAATCGTAATTAATGCTGATCCATTTCCTTTCTATCTCAGCCTTCATGCCCTGCAGAATTAAATCCTTCCCAGAATGCTTTGCAGTTGAGGAGACTAAATTAAAGCCCAGCTTCCAGCCTGATGAAAGAAACAGGAGGAAGATAAAAGTCTGATGAAAACCCAGAGATTCTCTAGCAGCAGGGAAATCAGAGACACTTCACTTCAGATTCTGTCGCTGCCAGGACTGCAGTTCTGTCATTTGGCCGGGTTAGATGTCTGGTTCAGCCTGGTCCAAATTAAGATGAGAGCTTCCATTAATCAGAACCACATGGTTCTTCCAGCATCTCCTCTGTCACCAATCAATCTGACCTTTTGATTTGATCCAATAAAAATATTAAACTGTTCTCCTGAACAGAACATCACGTCTGCTGGACACCAGCAGAAAACAGTTTTTACTTTAGCCTGGATTTTCTGCCTCAGTTCCAGAACAAGCTGGACCGTTTCAGGACAGTAAGAGGAATGAAGACATGGTCAGCAGGGTCAGATCTGCTCCCAGAAATAGTCTCTGGAACAAAAGCATAGGCTTCAGAACATAATGGAGGGCCTTTCAGCACACGGGCCAGCAGTGGGAGCGGGCTGCGGATCGCTCCAGAACCAGAATATGACAGGGAGACGAGTCAGGGAGATATACGGAGCCTCTGGTGGTGCAGCGGCCTGCGGCACACACAACACAAACACCATGCACACATTCCTCTGGGAGCCACACGCTCAGCTTCTCCTCCTCACACACTGAGGGAGAGATTACTGACACCACAGCGCTCTGAACTTTCTGTTCATTCACTGCAGGACGACTGAACTTTGACTTTCTAACGCTTCCTCACCAAAACGGGCCGGACCTTCCCAGGAGAGCCGGCGTGTGTTTGCACATTTGTCAAACAAACTTGAGGCGTACCTTGGGAGCAGCTGTCGTCGCTGCTGACGCTCAGCCTCTCGGCGTTGCCCTGAACGTATTTGTTGTACAGTTTGATCCGGAGCGCCCAGCTCAGGTCCGGCTGCCTCACCGTGTTCTTCAGGCGTCTCCTGGCGTTGGCGAACCAGTTGGACACCTGAGGGGGACAAAGCAGGAAGGAGACACACACAGCAAACAGGAAGACGTGTTAATGTCTAAATTCCACACTCGTCCACATCCACAGACAGACTAAACGTGTCGTCCTCAGTGGAGACGTCGCCTCGCTGCAGAGACAGAGTCCAGCAGGTCAGCTGCAGCTCTTTGAACGGAGCTGAGAGAAACATCCCAGACGTTCTGCAGAAAAACTGAAGCCTCTCATCCTTTTACTGTGTACAAAGAATCGGCTGACGGCCAGTGAATGCATCATTTCATGATCTAATGCTCTGACTGAGACACACGTCCCCATCCTGCTTATTCTGGACACATCTAGCCTCCCTCCAATAAGACGTTTTTTCCATCTCTGTCTTTAAGATCCAATAAAAAAGACACTTGAGCCGCTGCTCTTCCTTCCACTGGGAGTGGAGACCATTAGATATTCTACTGGAATAACTTTTCATGCTCAATAGATTTCAAGCCTCTGATGAACGGCCGGGGACGGCGGCCTCAAGCTGGACTGCTTAGTTTTCACGTCCTCTCCTTCAGCATCACATTTCTCATTAACTTGGACTGTCCACTGTCTTCAGTCTGCAGCCCAGCAGGCAGGAAGCAGCAACCAATTGGCCAGCAGGAATGGGAGAGGAAGGGACGTGTCCTCATGAGGACGGGAGGTCCCAAAGGAGACAGCATGTTACCATGGAGACGGAGTTCAGGAACCATGGAGATGGAACCGGATCATCGGCTCCATTTCACAACATTGACATGGAACAAAGCTAACTGCTGCGCTACAACATGACAGATTTAGCTGCTGTTTAACACCTGCTGCCAGGTCGGCCTCTCCAGGGAAAAACACACAGGAAGTGATGCGTTCAACGCCACTGGCAGCCTTAACAGCGGTCTGCCTGGACTAAACAGTGGAAGAACTCAGCAGCAATCAGTGGAAAGACAGAGAGACATCATGGTCACATCTGAGTTTATGTTCACACTTTGGGACAAAACCATCACTTGTTCAGTCCAAACATATTTTTAAAGACTGAGAGTTTAAAGATTTATAACTATCTGTTTTCATATTCCTAATTGACAAAAAACAAAAGTTTTTGTCCATCAACAACTGAAAATAGAGAAAATAGAGAACCAGGTTCTTCAAAACAGAACAGGAACAAAAACATAATTTTGGTGTTTGAAGAAAACTTTTGATATTTTACAGAGCTGAACTTTTTATATTTTAACACAAAGTTAAAATATTTAGATCAAGAACTGATTTGCATCAAACCATTTTTCCACAAATATTAAATATTAAATAAATATTTGTATAAATGATCACTTCAATAAAACTAGAAATACTTGCATGAAACACATTACTTGTATCTATAGTTATAAGTATCAAAAATTACAAAACACCAAATCATTATATAATTATACATGAAAGTATCTTAATCTAAAATTTGTTTAAAACATATGAAATAATCTCATTATTTCTGGATCTAATTTAGCCTGACCAATCAGAGACAGTCTGTAGGGATGATTCTGTTCCAGAGGAGCTGATTGGTCAGCAGATAAACTGAACATTATATTTCAAACAGCTGAGTATAAAATATTATATCTACTGCATGATTCAATTATTTTATGTCTGAATGTAAATCAGAATATAGGAAAATAAATCAATAAATAATCAGATAATGATGTTTTTACTATAATACATTTGAATTTCATTTATAGTTTTCTTCTTTTAATACATTTAAAACCTTTACCTAAATATTATTAATTATTTTAGTCATTAATTAATATAAGTAATCAGCAATCAGCCAGAAACCTGCAGTTGGTGCACCTCTAAGAAACAGCCATTGAAAATTAATTGTGAATAATTTGCATACAGGTAAACATCTATTCTTCTGGAACAAAAGAATTGTAAAGAACTTATTACAATTCAACAAAACATATTTAGTTCTGACACTATTGGACTCTCTGGGACATGAGATGAAGCTGAGCTGCAGCTTTTGGAAGAAAGTGGAAGAAACAATCAAAACCTGAGACGCTCAGCAGAGAGAAGAAGCTGCAGGAGGATCTGGAAGGCAGAGGAAACAACACTTCACTCCTGCTAAACATTCAGGAACAGTAAAATCTGAACTATCTAAACTCCAGCAGCCTAATCACTCTCCTGTCTGTGTGACTTTTCTTTGTCTCCTACTGGAATCAGAGCAGAAGAAAGCGTCTCACCTGGACCAGAGTCATCTGCGAGCCGAGCGCCAGCAGGATTTTCTCCGTCTTGGTCGGGTACGGGTTGTCTCTGTGCTTGTAGAGCCACTGCTTGAGCGGCCGCGCCATGTCCTGCAGGGCCTGGCGCTTGTGTCGCACTTTGCTGCCGCTGGGACGACCCCTGTGCACCAGCAGGGACAGCATTTAGACGCAGGCAAACTACCGGACACCCCCCAGGCCTTCACCATGCAGATGTCAGAAATTCACGCCGAGTCTAAAATGTCGGCAGATGAATCAGAGAAACGTCCTGAACCCACAGGAGGAACACCTGAACCTGCAGATGTCAGTATGGTGCTGCTCTCCACTTCTCCTTTAGCTCCCAAAACGGCTCCACTGGCCGCAGATGGAACCCATTTCAGTCGGACCTCAAAGCGGGCCCGAAGTTCTGGTTCTCCAAATATTTTCCTTGTAATCTGGATCAGCCTGAACATCGTGGAGCGCATTTCACTCTGACCTTTGACCCCAGAGCTCTGTTAGAGAACATTCCTTCACCTGATCCTGAATGTTTCTGCAGCTTCCTGTTCCAGACAAACAATGTCAGATCCATTCAAATCGGCTCTTCATATGGTGAACGAGAACACAGAGATGAAGGTGGATTTATTTATTGGAAACAGATGTGGAGTTGGGGTAGCGGTTTGTCAATGCATCAATTGTTGTAAATTCAATTTATGTATTTAATGTTATCTTTTAAGCAATAGTTCCACCTGTTTACCTCCATAAGACATCTGTGTGAGCACACATGGATCTACTATCTGTCCTCTCCAGCAGTACATGTGTCTGTCTGTCTGTCTGTCATATTTCAGCTGCGTTCAGCTCCAGTTACCGGCTCCATGAAACAAACATGGAGGGTAAAGCGTCTCCTTCCAGTCAATCAGTGGATGATAAACTGGGGGTTGGAGGCTCTGAAAATGTTCATGGTGCTCCTGTTGGTGTCACCATGAACACTTTCAGAGTGAGACCAACAGGAGCACCGAACATGATGAGCATCTGAAAATTGATTAACTGTCTTTTGTCTATTGTGGCAAATTCATCACATTAAACCACAACGCACCCAATGTATACCACGAATGACTGTTGATGGAGGCAAATTGTCACCATCTAGTGGAGGGACATACACCCAAATATGCATTATTTTGCATAAATTTATACTCGTGTTCTTTTGGTTCCCCTGCAAAGGAATGGCCACCTGTCCAGGCTGTATCCCGTTTTTTGCACACTGACCGCTGGAGGTAGGCACCAGCAACCCTCATGATACCAACGAGAATAAGAGTATTATGGGCAGATTCATAGCTGTGTTCTTTTGATGGATCTGTACCTAATTAAATTTAGCTTGACAAAAGCTAAATTTGTCAAGCTAAATTGTATTTTGTATAAAACTATAAAAAATAATAATAATAAAATCAGGGCACTGAGATAGAACGTGTTAATGTGAGACTTTGTTCAATTTTAAATGATTCAGTTTTAAAAACATTTCATGTAATTTGTAATTCCTTAACTATTTAAATTTAAATGAGGCCAAAAAAATACAATAGTAAACAAGTCATGCATTTATTATATTACCAAACAGTACATTATGATGTTTAATTGTTTATTTGAAACAATTTTTTTTCGAGGTTCAATCAGGACTCAGCTAGTATTTTTTCCAGATCAGCTTCATCGCATTTGACATTTTGAATAATCAGCTTTTTTATTTGAATTTAAATACATTTTATTTGGACATAACAAAGGCTTCATTCCGTTTTTTTCATCACTTTATTACTTCAAGGAACAAATATTCATTTACATTGTATTTGCTCAGATGTGAAAAATGCTAAACTTTATTTGGAAATAAGTAATTGTTTGCATTTGTGGATTCATTGAATAATTAGGTAAGAGTTTGATTAATTAATTGAAAAGTCTTTAGGTGAAGCTTTAAATTATGTCTTTGGAACAACAAACTACAGAACAAGTATGAGCTTTTTGGTTCTAACCTGTAATGTAATAATAATGTAAATATTAAATCAGCAGGAGTCGAGGAAGTAGTAATGGTTCATTATGCAATTTGTTAGATTGTTTTATATCACAACCTCAGGAAGAAAATATCGTGGAATTAAAGAAAGCACCAATAAGCAGGAATCTGAACGGAGACGCTTTTAAAATCATTTTAGCCAAATTTGGAGCAAATGCGTATTTACGCACGTCAGCAGAAAAACTTCCATCATGTTTATTATATTAACAATAAATGCACATGATAAAAACAATGCTGTGCTACTGCTGATGGAGTTTAATAATATTTCTAAACCCACATCAGTCTTTAAATCTCTGCTTTAGATGTTTCATTTGCTGCGCTTATTTGCGCAAAACCCGAAGATTTAATCTGATCTGAGGAGAGTTTTTCCCCGTTTGACGCTCAGCTAACGAGTGACCAGCAGGCTGTCAGATATTTCCCCCGTGGGTTCCTTCACCCACTAAAGCCGACCCACATCCACGCATGCTGAGCAGCAGCCTCTACCAGAACACGGAGCCTCACATACCCGCTCCGCCTGTGTCTGGCCGCCTGGCTGTCTCTGATGGCCGGGCTGCTGCAGAGGAGGTCTGGATGTTGGCCGTCGATGACCTCCAGGTAATTTCTGCTGCTCATTTCCACTTCCTTCGCCTTCTCCTCAAACAGGACCTGACTGCTCAGCTTGTTAAACACAACGGTGTTCATCTTTGGCCGCTCGGTCCGCAGATCTCTCTGCTGCGCTCGAATCCAAATGTTCGTGGAGGAAAACTGTCCCCGCGTCTCTCCTGCGGAACAATAGATCACATTTAGTTTGAGGATCAAATGAACTAAATCCTTCATCTAAACTTCTCCACATGCAGCAGCTTCAGAGTTAAAGGTGAGCGGAGCCGCGGCGCTCTGACTCCACTTCTGTCTCTTTGGAAACCTGTTTGCTTCATTCTGTCTCCTCCCGCTTCTAATGCGGAGAGGCGCTTCTTTCTGCGCACGTTCATTGCGCATTAATTAGCACAATCAGCTAAGAAATAAATCCGGGACGAGTCGGTGCGGACAGCGGAACAATTACTGGTTCCACTTTCCTGCTGCGCTGTGGGAGAAAAACCCACGGAGAGACACGCAGACTGTGGATGGTGCAAATCTCATTTATTCTACAGGAAGAAATTCATGTGAATTCTGTTAAAGCGACTCTAACCAACACTTTGAAGCAGATCCTGCTCTTTCTCTCTCTCTGCAGCTTCATCACTATGATCAGCTGATGTGTCTCAGACGTGGATCCATCAGCAGCAGCTTCGTGGAAAACAGCTGGAATTTTTCCTTGACATCGACTAAAGTGATGCTGGCAGTAATGTGACTGATTCAAAGTTGGCTTGCAGAACATCTGAACCTGTCCTTTCATTCAACAAGTGAGTGGATCTGTGGCAGTTACCTTCCCCGGCTCCCTCCTGCGTCTCTCGGCTGTGCTGAACAATAATCCCGCTCCCAGCCGCCCATGCCCCGCTCACATGTTCCCCGCCTGAGTCTCTGAGCTCCAACCACACGGACCGCCGTCTCCTCCTCTGGTTTTATCCGGCGGCCCGGGACTCTGAATATCTGCGCCTGCTCATGTTTCCTTGCACAGAGGCTGAGCCTGCGAACATCCTGCTGCTGCTTTAGGCCGGTTCAGGGGCAGCGGCCCCCAGAGGGAAGGAGAGGGAGGCGGGCATGAGTCTGACAGAAGCAGGCTGACTGTCTGAGCCACCGAGCTCCAAGTTACTGAGGATTAGAGATTCAATGGACAAATAATGTCTGGTTAGGAGCTGCTGTGCTGCTGCTGATGGACTTTCATTTATTATGTCTGAAAGCTTGAATAGATTTTAGCTGCTAATTATTGATGTTTTGATTTGATTGGCCAGGAAGTTGAAGGTCAGAGCAACTTAAAACTTTCACAGATGAAAAAGGTTAAAACAGCAGCTGCAACTGAATCTGCATTTCTTGTTCCTGTTTATGTTATGCTGACCTGTCCAATGTCCCGCTCACTGTCATCACCTGATGAGGAAAGACACCAGCTTCTCTGCTACCCTGAGCAGAAACAAGTGGGGGTGGGTGGATGGATCGGTTGCTCTACATTAAGTTGTCCATCTTCCTTTGGACCATCTCCATCTGCCTAAAGCTGAAGTTACCATGTCTGCTCTCTGCTACTTCAGTAAAATCCAGACAAATAGAAGAAATAGTTGGACTATAAATAGCCATGCCACAGCTGATTAGTCCTGTCACATTATGTGTTCATGACTCAGATGTTCTGAGGTTCTCAGCTGTGGGTTCCTTTGAGGTTTATTCAGACTAGTTATTTCAGGGATGTGACTAACCATCTGAAGCGTTCAGCCTCTGTGTAATTATTGTTTATTTGTGCTTATTTTCATTTAAAAGGGGAACTGACTTTTACTAAGAGTTTGTGGAAACATGCAATGATTGACCCAGTCATGTAATGGGTTAATTAAGGTCAGGAAGGGTTTATCTGCCCAGGTTTTCCACAATATTGTTGGTTGGACTTCTGGCCTGAGGTGAACTTCTGTTACCTCTTCTGACATTATTGCTGTTTCCAAACCTGTGGCTCAGCAGCAACCTGCTGCAGCTTCTCTTTAATCTTAATCCAGCCTCTCCAAAGCCTCTGCTCTTCCGCCCTTCACCTCAGACTGCTGTCTGTCTGTGGTTGAATAAAACCATTCAACAGGTACACTGACATTCATCATCATGTCCCAACTCAAAGGGATCGGTGACGGGGAGTCTGCAGGCGATCCTTATTCACAGCTCTGTTTCATCTCAGACTGGACTTCAGGAATTACACTGGCATCTGCTTTCTTTGGTATCCATTCAATGGCTGCTGGATTGGACAAGTAATGAGTTTTGATGCCTGGCACCAGAGTTCTGATGTCAGAGACAGTGGATATCTGCTGAGGAGCTTTGCAGAGACCCAAGATGCTCTGCAGCTTCACATATTGCAACAGGAGCTCTTCACCAATTCTTTTTCTAACAAATTACATATTTTGTTATGACACAATTGCTGCCTTTGAAAATGAAGAAAACAATTAAAAAATGAACCTGAATAACAGCTCAAAAAGGCACAGAATGTCCTCAGTTACTCTTCTATTCTCTGTGCTTTCCCATCTGTTCACAGTGCAGCTTTGAGTTTTTTAAGAACTTATTTGGTCTAGTAGTTGATCAGGCTCTTTACATGTTACATGAATTCTCCAAATTAATGAGGATAACCAGCAGACTGAGGGGCAGAGAAAAAAAAACATGCCTGTGAATTTCAGCACAAAGATATGAAAACAAAGGAAAGATGGACAGTCTGAGTCCAATTCAACAGAGAAACTAACATCCTCCTTCCTGACTGGAATCACATCAGTTTGGGGAAGAAGGTGAGCAGCAGACTAACATGTCAGATCCTCTCTGTAAACTCAAGATGAGAATTATTTATGACACATTTAGCAGGATTATTATTCCATTCATCAGAACTCCAGCAGCACATTTCCCTCCAGCAGCTCCAGAAAACATGCAGCTCCCTAAACAAGGCTCTTTAGTGAAAAACAGGATGCCTGAGAAGTGCCAGGGTTGCTTTATTTGCCAGCCTCATGGCGTTTTTCAGACGGGGCCAAATAAGGTCTCCTGAAGAGCTAAGCTAAGATAAGCACGTCTCTTTGCAGCCTTTCTTCCAGCTCCATCTCTCCCTCCCATCTGGGATCTCTGGGAATATAATCCAATCCTTATTAGACATTCCCTGACTGAAGGAACATCATCACTTACTCAGCGTTTGAAAACTGCAGCCGAGTTCTCAAGATGTTTCCAGTGAGTCCAGGGAGCTCCCCTGTCCAGCTTTCCCATGTTTTACACTCAACTGTGGAGGCAAACAGGACAGACAGACAGACGGCTGTGTTCAGCCAATATGAGGGGAACTTGGTGCAGAAATTCAGGTAAACAACATTCCCTGCAGCCTCCAGTCAGCCACAGGTGCTGAGCTGCTTTTTCTGGGACTCCAAAGAGGAAAAGGAGGGAAAGTTTCAGGTTGAACCCAGATTCTGAAAATAGCTTTTCTACTAACTGAAAGGAAGCAATCAGCTCAGTGTGTGCAAGGCTGAACCTCCAGGTACTCCTGGTTCCTCTTTTGGCTCATTTTATCAAAGCTCCAGAAGAATAAAACATGAGAGAAGAATCAGATGAAAACACACCGTGCCAGGGTGAGAGGTGAACTCAGAGCAACTAAAGAGCAAACGTTTTTCTCATTTAGATTAGTAAAATCCTAAAATACACACCAGGACCTGGCAAAAGCTGCATTTTGGAAAACATTCAGCTGCAAATGACCAATAATTACGGTTTGCATTTAGTAATTTTCAGCAATTTCCTTCACAAAGCTTGCTTATGAAAGAGGCTGTTTAACACAAGCAGCTGTCTGAATTCGTCTGAATGGATGAATGGCTTCAGCAAACAATTCCCAGGACTTTGGAGGCAACATGCAGGCCAGGAGGAAGGCAGCTTGATTGATACACAACACAAAATGAGGCTCATCCAGAGGAAAGTGGGAGATTCTGAGAGCGGACATTAGATCAATCCAAGAGGCCAGTTTCTCTCTCAGGTGTTTTGGTTGGAGTGCATTTCCCCTGTGAAAAGCAGCCCCATCATTTCTGGTTGTTTTCATTATTTATCCAACAGGAGAAGAAAAAAATATGATCTCACTAAATGATAAAGTGCAGAGTTAGAGCAACACACTCAGCTGTGGAGACAGACAAGCTCCCACTCAGAGTGTTTCCTCTGGACAGGTTAGTATCAGCATCTCTGTTCAGAAGAGCTGAGATGAACTTCAATCTGACCAATGAGGCGATCTGTGTTGTGTTTCCATGTCTGACATTCAGATAAACTGCTGCAGCTACAGGGTCTTTGGTGATTAAGCTCTTTAAAGTTGCAATAGAAATTTCGTTGAATCCTGTTCAATGACAATAAATGCTATTCTATTCTTCTATTCTATTCTATTAAAGTCCAAAAATACCTCCTGGTGAATTGTTACAACTCTGAGCTGCAACATTAATAACAAGCACACACACACACACACACACACACACACACACACACACACACACACACACACACACACACACACACACACACACACACACACACACACACACACACACACACACACACACACACTAAAAATCAGGAGTGTTTCACACACCAACATGGACACATAGAGGAACGGTCCAGTTTTTGTTGCGGCTCAAACTCTAAACACATTTGATTTCAGCAGCTTTTGTAAACTGGGTTGAAATCTTTGAGAACAGCTGAGGTCCAGTTCAGCTGACCCATCATGGCTGCTGCTTCTGAGTTCAAGTAAACCAGTTCAATGAACATGGGAACATCTGGCTTCAGCTGCAGAACCAGAGCCCAGTTTAGAGTCCAGTTGGTTCTGGGAGGCCGTTTCACACACTTGTGGTCACAGATGGATTTTTATGTGGTAGTTTTTCTGTAAAACCTCATTTAATGAAAGGATCAGAGAGCAAGGTTTTACCAACATGCTGAAACATGAACATTTGATCCTTCATGACAAGTCTTCCATCTATTTTACTGTGAGACACAAATAGAGTGTGCTGAGTTGAGCAGGAAAGTACAGAACTAGCTCCTTGTTGGAAGACATGATGGCCCCAATGAAAAGTCTGGTGGATGTAACTAACTGTGAGGAAAATAAACAGCACCATGGATGGGTTTCAGCCATTTCTCCATCAGTCCTGGGTCTGAAACATATTGCTGCTGCATTCTGCCCTGAGGAAGAGCAACAGCCCTTAGCAACAGTTGCCCCCAGCTACAGCCCTTTGCCTTGTGCTGCAATGGCATCTAGGGTCCAGTGTCGGGTTGGCACTTTGCACACACTGAGCTGTTTGCTTTTCTCAATTCCCATGATGGCTGGAAAGTGGAGGCTTGTTTCCACCGACTGTTTCTGCTCCATCGGTCAAAGGCTCTGAAAATAGTCTCAGCCTCTCAAAGTTTATTACTCTGTGTTTTTCACACATCACTGAAACAAGGGCGGCAGGAGACCAAAGCACAAATTCCTCAATGCAGCTATGCATTGTGAAACAAACTTGAAACTGGAAATGATCAACGAATTAGGACTTAATGAAGACGAAGGTATCCAGTCTAAGAGAAAGCCCAACTGACCTCAACGACTCCTTCCTCATGCATGGTGATGATGTTGTTGGGGTCCTTGGACAGTTGGTACAGGGCCATGGTTGAGTTAAGGAGGAGTAAAGTGTCGATGCAAAGGAGGGATGGTGATGTGGGAAAAGAGAGGAGGGCAGGTTAAGTTGACCACATTTAATAAGTCTGGATGAAGAACTGGAATCAGTATAAACCTATCCTGCAGTTTGATTAGTTTAAGTTTTTCTTCCTGCATCCTAACTTATCCCAATGATTCTGAAACCGGATTTAGAGATTTAAAGTGACATGTAAAACTTGGTTCCACAATGAGGACTCTGTGCCCTCTAGCTTTGAGTTCCTGGTACCAGCTGGTACCTCAAGACTCTGAACCACTTGTGGAGAGAGTCCAAGCAAAGAGAGTGAACCACAGAGGAAGAGAGGCTGCTTTCAGCAGAACTTGGAGCAGCAGACTGCTGTTTAAAACTCAACATACCAGA